GCTGCAGTGAGACCAGCTGAGAAGCTGCATCCCAGGCAGTCATCTCTCATGCTTGACTGGAAGAGGGGGATTGATCTCCCTTAGGGCTAGGGAGGCCTGGGGGCCTGCCAGCCTTGTTTGCTTGGTGCCTGTGCAAGGTGGCGAGGGACCCCCAGGACCCCCATGGTGTGCCACAAGTCCTTCCTGGGCTTCAGAGAGGGGCAAGCGGCTTCCAGGGACCTCGCAGTCCAGTTGGCAAGCAAACAAGAGGTTGTTATTGAGCAGGAAGCATCACTTATTGAGCTGGAGACTCCCCCCCTGACCCAGGCAGTTTGTCATTAGCACATGGATGATCCAATTTGGGCTGATTGGTGGTTGCCTTGGAGCTGTGCGGCTGAGCTGCTCTGTCTGTGGGGTTTCTCAAGCGCCCACCCCCTGGCTGGCGGCTGCTTGCCCCTGGGTGAGAGAAAGCAGCCTTGCTGCCTCTGGCGGGACCTCCCCGTGCCCTGCTGCAAGGGGGTTTGTGCTGCCACCTCCTTCCCGAGGCAGGAAGGGTCCTGGCTTTGAAGGACCCCCCGCCAGCATTCATGCAGAGCCCACTCAGCCCTCCCCAGTGGCCCGTACCTTGCAGCTCAGCCCCACACTGCCCCTCCCAAACCCCTCGGAGCTTTTATATGAAATGGCTCTAATCAGGCCGGCTTGAAGGGCACTTGAAGAGCCACACAAGCACTTGTTGAATTTGCTGGCGTCCTCACATTTCCTCCATGGTCTCCGTGTAACTTATTTTTCTCCCCTGCTGCAAAATTTTGAGTGCGTTTAATTATGGCAAGAGAGCAAGTGGGTTGGGGGGTGATGCAGGTGAAGCCGGGCATGCAGCAGGGACCGGCCAGCACCCCCTCACATAGCACTTGTGATGCTCCACAGGGAAACATCCTTCCCAGCTCCCACCTGGTGCATTGTTGGGCGGTAGTTGCATCTTGAGCCCATGCCTGTTTGACCTGCATGTTGGGCGGTAGTTGCATCCTGAGCCCATGCAAGTCACTTCCCTGCTCCGCCTCAGTTTCCCTAACCCCAGAAGTAGCAGGGAAGCACATACAAGCCAAAGCGGGGTGAGTAAATCATTTGCAATGTACTTGGAGGAGTCGTGAAGCAGCCGGAAAGCACTGCGGGAGTGCAGCGCAGGCCCCTGTACCTCTACAACAAAATTCATTGGAAAGGGAGGACTTGCTTTGAAAGATTGCCCTGAAATGGGTTTAACTTCAGGCCCTAGCTCCGGGGTTTCTAACCCTTTTAGAGATGTTCTAGCAGGGTCCTAAACACACTCTCAGCCCCAGCCTGCCGGGGTTTTGGAGCAGACGGATGCTCAGGACATGGTTAACACTGGCACCCCTCTAACATTGGCAGGTGGTCCAAGGTCTGGGTGGAAGGCATGATGGTTAACACTGGCACCCCTCTAACATTGGCTGGTGGTCCAAGGGCTGGGTGGAAGGCATCTGAGGAGCTGCCGAGAAATGGGGATGTTTAAAAATGAGTCTGCGGTGAGGCAGCGGTTTGTAAACAGCTGAGCGCGGAGCCATTTCTTGTGTATATGGAGACAGCTCCCCATAAAGCCTAATAGGTTTTTGAAGGATATTGGGCACCAGAGAATCTGTGGTGTGGCTGGGCCTTTAATTTCATTTAGGGAGCAGGCTGGCGGTGCCACAGGCCAGGGGAGGCCTGGTGACAGGATGGGGATGGATGGATGGATGGAGGAGCTGTGCGGGACTGTTTCTGCACCAGGCAGCAGGAGCAAAGAGTGGGTTGCAGAGGGGATGGCAGGGAAGGAAGAGCAGAGGCAATCCCCTGTCCTGACAGCGAGGTGCTCTCCAGCACCCATCAGCGCAGGCTCTGCTGGGTTTGCTAGCTCCAGGGGCAGCTGAGCCGAGCCCCCGGTGCTGGCAGGGGGGAAGAGGAGCTGATCCCCGGGAGGCCAGGCTGCGCGTCTTCGAGCATCAGAATCAATAATGTGTCCCTGCGAAGCCCTAGCAGCCGCCTGCCCGCCGGCCCAGATCCATCACGGAGCCATGGATGGCCATTAGGGTGCTGCAGGGTCCTCTGAATTGCATGTCTGCTATAATTTAATGCTGCTGGACATGAAATCAGCCCCAGGCTGTGGGTGGAGGCAGGTCTGCCATGCTGGGAGCTAGCAGCCGTCCTCCCCCAGGCACTGCATGGACGGTGGATGGAGTTGTTGGGGGAAAAACACCCTCCCTGTGGTCCTGCTTCCAGGGGGAGAGACGGGCTGGGCCCAGGGGGTTCTGCCCCCCTCAGTGATGCTCTCCCCATGCTGCTCCGGCTCCTGCTCCTTGTTCCTGCATCCCCTAACTTCTCCCATCCCCTGCTGCTGCTGTCTGTGGCCGTGCTCCTTCATGCCCACGGGGCCAAGGGTGTCTCCAGCACGAGTGCCTATCTGCCCAGCAGCCCTGGGGTAAGTGATGCCGCGGTTCAGTGTCACGGCTGTGCCCAGCAAAGCATGGATGCAGCTACCTCGCCTCCCCGGCCTCCTTGAAGGAGGCTGGGGGCTGATATCCAGCGTGAGCCTGATCTGTGAGCCCTGTGACACATCTCACTAATTTAATCACTGTCACGGGTCATTGCAGACACTGATGGGTTTGCGCCGCGCTAAGAGCCGGGCTATCTTAAACACCCCGGCGCTGTATTGTCTTACTAATTATGAACCCATAAATGTCGCCTTCAGTAAATAACTCAACATAAATAGAGGTGGACTTGGAGATAAAATGTGGCAGAACGGCTTCTGTGGCTGCAGGCGTGTGCTCTGTGGCGGGGGAGCCTTGGACTTGCACTCGCATGTGCCCAAGCTGCTCACATGTACCCACAGCTGGGTCAGGTACTGATGGCCTCTCTGCTCAGAAATTTTTCTCATCAATGCTTCTGGAGTTCAAAGCAATCTAGCCCCGTCCTGTAAATAACCCTGCCCTGCTATTTCTTTTCTTTTCTTTGCTTTTTTTTTTTTTTAAAAGAGCTAATGACAAATTAAAATTTTTCCATGAATTAAACCAAGGGACCTGCCAGGGACCAATACACCGTGCACACTGTAATCCAGGGAATCTGCAGCCAGAAGAGATGGAAACAATGGTGGAAGGGCCCAAGCTGAGATGCCCTGCATCCTTCCCAGTCTGGACCAGCATCATACAGGGCACCAAGAGGTTTGGACCAGTTTAATCAGTTTGCTCTTAAGCCTTTCAACTGTTAATAGCACAGGCAAAGTGATGGGCCTATGACCAGCATGGGATTTTGGAGTAGATGACATCTAACTTAGAGGCTTGATTTCAACTGACTCTGAACCCTGCCTGTTTTCTTTTGGGCAACTTGTGCTCTCAAGGGGAGCCCATCATGATAGCCTCTGCCTGCAGCTGGCCTGGGAGGAGGTTTATAGCCGGAGGTGTTAATGGGAGGTTTGGGAAGAAAGCCAAATACTTCTTTCCCTTCTCAAGCGAGTGCCTCCTGCTTTCTCAACACTGGTGCTTGGCTGTAACCATGAGGACAGGCCCTTGACTGGAGCAATGAGGACAAAGTATAAGCAAAAACATCCTGTGGGGAATAATTTTACATTAGCAGAAGGACGAGGAGGTGACCTGATCGGTTTTCCCCATCTGCAATTCTTGTTGCCTTTATTCCCCTTTACGAGCCCCCGTGATTGTATGACTGAGGTAATGGGTTCAAATTTATACCGGCAGTGCTTGGAAAATAAGATTTTATTAGAGCGATAAGAAAACTTCCCAAGTTGTGTTCCCATCCTTAATAATAAAAAATGAACAGGGCTCATAAATAACCAGCCGCGCCATAGCCGGGGAGACGGGCTCTTTTCTACTGTATTTCATTGTTTAATTATCAGCAACACAAAGTTCGGGGGCCCTGGAGGGAACAGTTAACTGTGTCTCTGTAAAAAGTGCCCTGTAATGACACTTGCTGTAATGAGCACAAGCCTGGCCTGGGTCTAAAGGGTATCTCCTACAAACCAGCTTCTCTCCAGTCTCCTCTGAATAGTCCTCTGATAAACGATCGCCCTGCGGGAGAGGGAGACAGAATTGATGTGACACCTGGGGAGCTTGAGCTGCAGAAAAGCACGCCCCAGCCTCGCAGGGAAGCAGCGATGCTTTGGTCTCTGTCCTGCAGAGCAGTGCAGCAAGTGGACCAAGTCCTTGCAGCTACGGAGAACCCCGGGGTCCTGCCTCCCGGGCCCTTGGCTCTTGCCGCAGCTGCAGCGGAGCATAGCATGTGCTTACATGCCTTGCTGAACAGAGAAGGCCTTGCACAGGCCCTCGGAGATGAGCACGTGTTGTGGGACTTTGCTGAAGTAACAGCTCTAGACTCCCTGCTAGGCTGCATCGGAGGGCTGCTCTTACCGGCAGGGGCCAATGCTTCCATTGAGGCCACGGGGCAGCAAGCCAGGGGTGGCAGGACCAGGAAGGTGTGGCTTGGAGCTGGGTGGGAGATGCCCCTTTTGCCGATATTTCAGCCTCCATGGGAAGCCTCAGGCAGCTGCTGGGGCAGAGGAGACTCCCGGGTATCTCCATGCGGGCGCTGCTGGGGACGTGGCTCCAAATTAGGGAGGAGGAGGTGGGAGCGGGGCAGTGGCTCTTCGTTTCATTAAGAGCAGGGGAAGCATTTCATGGGCAATTGGAGCTAAACACCAGCACTGCAGTAATGAGCGGCAAGAGGCAGCTGCAGGTAAAGGCTTTGTGCATTTAATTTCTTTGTTGTTTAGGGGGAATTCAGTTCTGGATGGAAAGCACCAGGAGATGACCCTGGAGAAGGATGGGATGGGCCCCGTGCTGGGAGAGGGCAGGGTGTATTCCCCATGGGACTCTGCGGTTGGAGATGGTGTCCTGGCAGTGAAAGGTCACTTCCTCCAGCCACCCCAGGCCCCTGAGAAAGAAGGGCCCTTTCTCCAGTCTCCCTGGCCTGGACCTGACCCCGGTGTGCCCTGACGGCACGTGCCATTAGCATTGCTGTGCCCTCTATCCCTCCTGCTGCTGGGAGCTCCACGTCGCCCACAGGGCACCGAGCGTGATGGCGTAGACGGCTACCACCCCGGCATACACCTGGAAGAGCAGCATGTCCAGCTTGTACGAGAGCCGAAGCCAGTCGGCTTCCTGCCTGCTGTCCCGATCCAGGGCACGGAGGCGAGAGCTGATGAGGAGCAGCTGAGCTAGGATCTCCTCCATCACGGCCTTCTGGGTGGACATCACCTCCCAGGGTCCTTCTTGTCCTCGCTTTCCTTCTTCCCCCGGCAATGGGGCACCTGCAGGGAAGGCAGATCAGGCTCAGCACGGCAGCCGTTTGGAGAAACGCACGTGCTCACCCCTCCCCAGCCCCCCATGTACCTTCAGTGCACCCTGGTGCTTGCCTGGCAGCCGGAGCTGCCTGGGAGTTGGCCCCCCGATCCTCTCCATCCGAGCCTCTCTGCCCCCGACAGCAGTGAGAAGCGAGCCTCTGCCACACGTGGTCTTCGCCCGGATGAAGGCACTTCACGAGCAGGATGGACAGGGAGAGGCTGAGCACCAGCAGGGCCATGCAGATGGTGAAGAACACCCCTGAGATGGAGGGGGAGAGACGGGGCCATTGTGGAGTGAGCTTTGCCGGAAGAGCCCCAAATGCTGCTGTGCAAATGGTATCTGTGGGGCTGGCCACCCTGCAGCCAGGGGCATGCACCTTGCTAATGGCAAGGGCTCCATTAACGGCCAGGCTGACACGGCTTGTCTGACTCAGGTCAATAGCTCTTGCTCGGCTCTTGGCTGGCCTGAAGGTTTTTAATTCAAGCAGCTATCACCCACCACCGCTGCCTTGTCTGCACTGCTGCTTGACCCCAAGTCAGGAACGCACCTTCTGTGCAGCATGGATGTGGCCACATAGGGCTGGCGAGTGTGCTTGGATGCCATGGCAGCCAGACCGGTGTGTGCCCACTTGGTTTCGCAGTACAGGACCGCCGGGTGCATTGTTTAGTGCCGCTCAATGCCCGCCGTGGTTGGGATAAAAATCCTGTCCACTCTGGGCAGGACTGATGTGGTCAGGCTGGTTGCAGTCCTCCTACAAGCAAAGCCCTCCAGGACCATATGTTGCTAACCCCTGGATTAGCTCATGAAGTTTCTCCTGAAGGGGAGGTGGCAGCTGCCCCATTTCTTGAGTCATATAGAGCTTGTCTGCAGGAGGACAGAAGCAGGACAGACCAGATCAGCTGAGAGGTCTTGCTCATCTGTGGTGTCTCGCTCTGACACATTTGAGGTTTTTAAGACCCAGCTTGGCTGGGATGACGTAGTTGGGGCTGGTCCTGCTTGGAGCAGGGGCTTGGACTAGATGTGACCTCCTGAGCTCCCTTCCCACCCTCCTTGTCTGTGATTTCTATGTTCAGAAGAAAGTCCCTGCCGCCTCTGCCCAACCCCGGCTGTGGGTATCTGCTCACCGATCAGAGGCGTGCTGAACGGGGTGCCTGGCAGCTCGGCCGACATGTTGACCTTGAAGACGGTGTAGCCCACCAGCACGCTGCCCTTGAAGGTGATCCGCATGCCACAGGTGGGGGGCAGGTAGAAGCTGCCCAGGTCCACGGCCATCAGAAAGATGCTGGGAATCAGCAAGCTGACGACGTAGAGCAGGGGCCGCCTCCGGATGACAATCTGGGGGAGAAAGGAGTTGGTTCCAGCTTGCAAGGCAGCCTGACCGCGCTGGGGATTCCCAGTCTCCCTGAGGTGCCCTGAGACCCCATGCCTCCTCCCGGCCTCTGGCACGGATGCTACAGGAGCTGTCACTGTGCTAGAGGCTGTCGATAGAGGTGGCCAAGCCCATATTGCTTCAGTCATTTCCCTGCAAAACCCTGAGATGCTTTTGTGGCTGGCAAGAGCTGTGAGCTCGCTTATCCAAATGCCTCTCCAAATAACCCCTCTGCTTCCGTGCTTTCCAGAGTTGGGCAGGACTGAAACCTCTGAATGGCCAGCGTGGTTGTTCTCACTGGATTTGTGATCCAGGGCCTGAGAGCAGCCACCCCAGGCCCTTCCCTGCTAACCATCAGTCATGCAAACCTGCATGCAGCACAGTCCATCACTACTGAAAAGCACTCCTAGTTTGGGCTTGGCATCTAGGAACAAAATCAGCTGTGGTTCGTGCAGCAGTTTTGAACCTGATGGACCTTCAGTAAAGAAGGGAAGCTAAGGGGTGCAAAAGCAAGGACGTGGCGCTGGATGCAGCTCGTGGTGGCCTGCTGTTCAGCAGCAAATAATGGGCTCCAGCCATCTCCATGCTTCTCAAAGCTTTGGACTGATGCTTACAGGTTTGTAGCTGGCTCCACAGAGGGATTTCTTAGGTGGGGATGTGCTAAGTAGTGAGTCCATTGAACCCTTGTGAAGTCACGTACAGTGCAGATGCTGTGGGCTCAGCCTGATGGGGACCTTTGCCGTGATGGACCAAAGAACCTGCATCTTTTGTCCAAGCCCCAGGTTGGGGCTCAGGTCTGCTGCAAGCTCCTCGAGGCAAAGGCAGAGCACCTCACTCCCAGGTCAGTCCCTGCAGCAGTTCCAGATGTGGCCAGACCACGGCACGTGGCTCCTCCAGGACGGCAGAGTTGGCACAGAGCTCTGTTTGCACCTCACCTGGTGAGATACAGCTGCTACCCCACTGGCGGAGAGGGCTGTGCAGGGGTTGTTTCTGAGCACGAATCCCAGCTCTGTGGGACTTGAGAAGGGACAGAGCCACGGAGATGGCTGGAGCGTGTTATTTGCTGCTGAACAGCAGGCCGCCACGGTCTGGATCCAGAGCCACGTCCTTGCTTTGCACCCCTTAGTAGCCTGCATCCTCCTTCCATTATAAAACCACCTCTGACTGGATGGATCCAATAAGCAGGTCCCCCATCCTGGTGCGGGACTTGCTGGGCCTGCATTTAGTGCATCCCCTGAGCCAAGGCTCAGATCACGACCCCTGTGGTCCATAGGCAGCAGCTCTTCCCAGCAAATCCAGAAGATGCCTGCCAAGCGGTGCCTTCTCCAAGTTGAACCCTTCCTAGCTAGGGGTTACCCCGTGCAGATCTTACACCATCCAAATCCCATCTACTCTAATAGGCTAAGAAGCCCAATGCCTTTAAATTCCACAGCAAAGGGAAGAAAACACTTTAAGTTTCTGCCGCGCTCTCCATTAGACACCCTTCAGGTGTTAGCAATATTATGCCACAATTTCATTATCCATTAAAGCCAGGTAATAATAAGTACACAAAGGTATTTGCAGCCCATTGGTGTTAATGAAGAAGATCCATCTCCTTCCGAGCATGTACGGCAGCCGCGCATCGGAGATGGAATATTACCCAAGGTGAGGCGCCAATTGCCTTTGCGAGAGCAGACCCCACCAGCACTTAATCTTGCATGACTGTCTTTATGACACAGGTAGAGTATGACACCCGCGTGCCGGTTTGCAGCATTGTTTGCTGCTCGCTGTCTCTCTGCTGTTGAGGTTCCTCCGACGGGCGGGCAGCTGGCAGCCTGCTCCTTTCCAGGCACTCGGAGGCCGTGAGGGCAGAGCTGATCGGTGTTGTCCTCGGTCCCTGGGGTCAATGTGCAGTGGGCTTTGGCCTGTGTGCTTCAGGCCTGGGCTGCGGGGAGGGAGGCACTACCCAGATTCAGAGGTGAGAGCTTGAGCCTCACCTGCACATGTGCTGAGGCCGTCCCCATTCATCGCAGCCGTGAGTGAGGTCCTGGGCATTCGCACTGAGAAGTCGGAGGAGGCCTGATGTGATGCCAGGTGCATTGCTGCCTTATGTGCCTGATGCCCTTCCCATTAGAAAACCACCTCTGCCCGGCTGGATCCAGTACATGCATACCCCATCCAGATGTGGGACTTGCCAGGTGTGCCGGTGGCTACAGGGACCTCTGCTAACCCCACGGGCACTGCCTGCCTTGGAGCCTGATCCTATCCTAAGTCTCCGAGTGCACTGCCATCCAGGCCTTGGGGCCTCATCCTGCTCTGACATGGTGCTGGCACCTCCTCCAGGGCCTCCAAGGAACAGGCCCCTATGGGGATCGATCCAGCTCAGCACAAATGCCCCTGCCATGACAAGGAGCTCCTCTTAGGGACCCCTGCCAAAAGCGGCCACTGCTTTCCATACTGTAACAGGAGCAGACAGCCTGGCACTAACTCCATAACGGCCCTGTCTTTCCTTACCAGGGCAGAAGCTGGATTGGGACAGGACAGAGAAGAGCCTCAGCACAGCTGAGGGGAGCAGAGGCAGCTTTATGGCCACCTGAAGAAAGACCTGGTAGGAGCAGATGCCCTGAGAAGAGGCAGCCAGGTCTGCTCAGGACCCGGGCACCGTGCCCTGCAGGTAAGTCCTGGCCAGACGTGCTGCTGGTCTCGGGAAGGCATTTCATATTCCTATGACTACATTTTCCCAGAAACATCCCCATTATCCAGGGCTGGGTCTGAACGGTTGGATTAGCCTGCCCAGGCTGTGCCTTTGCAGTCCTGTCCTGGGTCTGAGGCATGGGCAGAGGCCAGGCTCGTGGCATTGGACTGGGAATACTTGCTGGGAAACCAGGGAGGGCTGGAGTGGCTGCTCATGAGCCTGGAGTTTGGCTTTGCTCCGGAGAGGCCTCGGAGTTCGGGCAGCGCTGCATGCGGAGCTGCTGCCTCCACGCCGCCGTGAGCAGGACGGCCCCGTGCATTTTCCTTTAAGTGTTCCTCATTACTGGCTCCGGCATTAATAATGTTCGCAGGCTGATATCTTTAAAATTAATGAAGTGTTTAAGTCTTAGTCAAGAAGCTCATCAAAACAAAAACGCGTTTCCCTTCTCCGGCGAGCGGGGGGAGGACAAATTAGCCCCTACCCCTCGGGGCTCCCGGCGCACCCAGTCCTATGTCTGCATGCTGGGGTTGCTGTACGGCCTCTCAGCCTTGCGGTCGGAGCTGCTGCCCCTTGCTGCTGGGCTAAATGTCCAAGTATGGGGGGTGCCAGGCCAGGGCTCCTGGTTCTCAGTGATGCCCACTCCCTTTTCTAGCTGGAAATCATCTTGATGCAGGCACAGAGCCTGGGGCAGTGCTCAGGGTGACTTGTTTTGAGAGCTGGCTTGCAAAAGGGACATCTCACTCAAGCCAGGGACAGTTGGAGAGCCCAGCTGGTGGTGTCCGTTTGTCCATCTTGTGTCTCTTGTGGGTGTGTCTGCTATGGGGGAGTTTTACAGAACAACCCACTGTTCCTTCTCTCTCCCATCCCCACGTCTCCTCCCTCCCACAGCCACGTGCTTCCTAGCCCACTGGTAGCCTGGCATTGCAGGGGTCTCCTGGCCAGCCAGAACGGGAGGCTAAGCAGAGCCTGCGTGGGAGAGAGGGATTTGAATGACAACAGGGGAAGGAGGAAGTTGCTGAAGGAAAGGCCATCGGTGTGGAGCAGCGGCGGCAGATACCTACATGGAACTGGGCCTCGGCGAAGCGCCCACTGTGGGTGCTCAGGACCTGGTAGCGGGTGGGCACAGAGAGCAGCTCCCATTCGCCGTCGGCCAGGAAGATCTGCTTGTTGTCTGCCATGTGCGCGGCCAGGTCCACGTCCTCCACTGGGGATAACACACAGTCAGGGCTGGGATGCAGGGAAGGAGCCTTTTAGTGTGAGAGAGTCCCACACTGTTTCTGGGGGGAGCTTTCCCTGCCCACCGGGGCTTGACTTGCTTTCTGCAAGGTCCCTGGGACACAAGCCCCCATGGGCATGCTCTGGGTGGTCGGGAGCCCGCGTGGAACTGCTCCCATGCACCTCGTTTGCTTCCTCCAGCATCACGTGCAGCTGGCTCTGGGCTGAGTTTGGTGCAATCACTGGCCAGTTCTTCAGCCAGGCTGCTCTGAATGTGGTCCTACCAAAGGCCCAAAGCAAGACAGGGCTGGCTGGGCTGCAGCAGTGTTGATACTGGCACCAACCAGGGCACTTGTCCCAAAGGGAAGGGGTGGATAGTGAGCCTTCCCCCAGCAGCTCTGAGCTACGTCACCCTAGAAATAGCACATGCATCCCAAGAAAACAACCCCCCAGGCTTAAGGGGTGGAGTAGGGCAGACAGGACTTGTCCACGAGGGCCAGACTGTGTGCCCACGCATTTCCCCGGCACTCACCAGTGTGCAGGATGGTGCTGAAGGTCAGGCTGCAGGTCTGGGTGTCGAATGGGAAGGCGTATGGCTCCAGCTGGCATGCGGACACCACCTGCATGGGTTTTTGGTTCCTGACCATCCCGCTTGCATTCACGTAGACGTAGGGCATATCGAGAGACTTGCTGACATCCACACTAAATGCAACAGGACAGGTGGTTGTGTGAGGCAGGTGGGGAAAACCCCCGGCAGGCTCCTTGCTGGGACACGAGCATGCAGCTGTTAATTCATGCCAAGATGGTAACAGGTGAGTTTTCCAGAGGAGCCTTCAGGACTCATGGTAGAGGTGATCTCATTTATTAGACCAACTAGATTTTTGCAAAAAACAATTCTTTAATTACAAGCTTTCAGGCACAAACACCCTTCATCAGGCATTGGAGAAAAGATTGTAAAAGTTCTCCTGGGTAGAAATGAAAGTTCGTATCTCATAGGAGATTTGAAAGTGGTAAAATCTCCTGTTTGGAAAAGTTCCTTTTATATGCAGATTAGGCTCAGAGAAAAGTTGGGATAATAACTTGAAAGCATGCAATTAAAGATAGATAGATAAATTTTTTTATTTTTTTTTGCAAAAATCTAGTTGGTCTAATAAAAGATATCACCTCTACCACGACTCCTGATTGCTTATTCTTTTAAACCAATACGGCTACAACCTGGATACTAGAAGAGCCTAGCACACCCAGCTGCCTCAGCATTGGGTGGGACTGGCTGGGACAGGAGACTGCCATGGTGCAGAGATGTTTGAGTTTTTATTTTGCATTAACATGGGAAGCAGACCTTGGAAATCTGTCTTGAAATGTGAGCGTGCCGGGAAGGAGCCTGCCCCAGGACAGCCATGGAAAAAAAGCACCACGAGCACTTGTCTGGCTGACCAGCCTGCAGTGAAACCCAGCCTCATGCCTACTTACAGCTCATTGATGGTGATATCCGGAGACCAGATGGAGCTGAGCAGCAGGGACACCTCTCTGATCCCATCGTGGAGGCTGGAGTTCCAGGTGAGAAATTCGTCCTTCCAGCTCTGCAGTGGGGAGAGCAGGGATGCGTTTGCTTCAGAGATGCCCTGGTGTGTGGCATGGGGTGCAAGTTGGTGAAGGTGGCATCATGAGGCTGAGCCCCTGACTTTGTTCTTTAGGGGAAGGGAGAGGAGGAAAATCTCCTTGTGCTGGCAGCATGAGAGCAGCTTGACCCCTCCAGTCGTGGCAGAGGAAAGGGTGCTCATGCCAGCAGCTCGTGCTGCTCCACTTCCCACAGCACAGGTTTCAATATGATCTGCCCTCGGGAATCCATAATGAGTGGCTTGGTGCATCTGTGTGCACACACGTGTGTGCATGCCCCCAGCGTATTAACTCTCAGAAAAATAGCAACCGGACCCAGCTGCTATACAGCAGTGGCTTTCACTTGCAGACCCTTTTGGAAATTGCGGATGGGGCACGGACCCCTTTGAATTTTATGTGCGGGTATTCGCGTTCTTTTGATTGATCATAGTCATCTTTCACGGACCCTTTAGATGTTGCCTGTGGACCCTCAGGGGTGCATGGACCACAGGTTGAAAACCACTGCTATAGAGCAAGCAAGGGCTCTCTCTGCTGCTGTCACAAAGAGCAAAGGCCGTAAGGATTCATTTACCTGCTGTAACCAAATACTCGTTGTGAGCTTTTGATTCTGGGAATCCTGTGGGGAGGGAGGAAAAAATATAAGCAAAGGTTTAACAAATCACTTGGTTTAGGAAGAGACAGAGCAGCTTTCAAATCTCCCACCCAACCATGCACCTGCTCTTACGTATATTGTCTAAACCTACTTGAAGCGATAAAGATAAGAGGAGTCTTGTTTTACTGTTTCCTTCGCATGCATAGCTTGTGCACTTGGACCAGCAGAAGTCATTGGGACTCGTGCTACAGATAATTCCCTCCTCTCCTTGTAGATCATTGTTTTCACTGTTTCCCCTTGGCAGTGAGGTAGCCGCTGCAGTGCCCTGTCATCAGCTATCAGACCCCCTTGCACAGAAGAGTCCTCCTGGCTTTGATGGGATTTACTTGCTGTCATAAGCAATGCTCTTGCTAGCAGGTGTTTGGAAGAGTGGGATCACCAGGGCATGACTGCTGCATGTAGCCCGCCCAAGCAGTGAGGATCAGGGCAGCCGTGGCAGCATGCACTTCAGCACGGGCAGCCACCAAGCCTGTACACGGGGTCCAAGCAGAATGGTGCAGGCCACGTGAAAGCTGTGCACTGCTGAGCATCCCTGCACTAGCTAGGGGCTGTGCCTGCTGCCCTCACCCCTCTGGCTGCAGTGCAGACAAGCCCTTGGGGGGCTCCTGTAGAGTTGATAAAGGGTGGGAGAAGCCACCTGCCAGGCTACGTAGGGTCAGACCAGGGTCCAGCTAGCTCAGGGTCTTGCCTCCAACAGTGGCAAGAAACAGATGCTTTAGATGGAGACTATAGGAATGGGGCAAGTGATCCAAGCCCTGTCAGACCCTCCCTGGCACCAGTCGTCACTGGTTTATGAATCACAAAAGAATAGTTGGCATACGTGGCATAGAGGAATTGGACAGTAACCCTTGGACTATCCTCTCGTGATGCCCGTGGGGTTTTGTACTTCAGCACCAGTTGTAGCTGCAAAGCCTGGAGCATTTGTGTAGATTCAGGAAATACAGATTTGGGGGATTTGGTTGTGCTTTTTTTACGTTATATTTGTGATGCAAAAGGGACAGCAGAAAACGTGCCTCAGAGAGAGAGAGAGAGAGAGAGAGAGTGCAGCAATGGCTTTTAGCTGAGTAGTTTTCTTACATATATATATATTTAAACTGACTAGATTGCAAGTTGATTGCATCCTTTTACATTTCTGGCGGACACCATGAGTCTGTGTGGCAGGGTCCTGGGGTTTGTTTGGCCATCACCCCACTTCTTGCCAATCCTCAGTTCCAATTTATTATTCATCTGAGCCTGTACAATCCTCACTACAGTAAATTATCTTTGATAAAATGGCACTTGGGCTGCACTTGACACTCTAAACGAATCACCAGCATTTCTCTTGCACCCTAATTAGTTACTGTGACATTAATCAGGCTGCTAAGCATAATACATATTCTCAGCAAACCCACAGCTAAAAATATGAGGCTGAGCTTATATCAGTAATCAGGATCTTCATAATTTTTCAGAGGGAGTTGTCTCAGTGGCTACAGACAGCTGGGTGTGTTAAATATGTGTGTGCGCGCGCTGGATGTGTGTGTGCTGGGTGTGTTAAACCTGTGCATGCGCGTGTGTTTGTTTTACTGCTCCCAAACCAGAAGGGATGACTGCAAGCAAAGTGCATTTTGTTATGACCAGGCAGGTAGAAGTTTCCTGCTTTTGGAAGGGCGAGGCACCTTTGCCGTTTCCTCTCTGGTGTTGTTATAGGATATCACACCCCTGCACTCAGGATCAGGGTCGCACTGTTGAGGGCTGTTCAGACAAAGACATAGACCCAGTCCTTCTTCCAAAGACCTTATGGTCTGGGGCTCTAGACAGTGAAACCCGTGCCTCCATTTAGGAATGGGAGGAGGGCTGTTGCACTCGTGTTTAAGTGAGGCCCAATGTTTGTAGGACTAAGGCTCTGCTTGTTCCCGAGCCACCAGGGTTTCTCAAATGGATTAGTCTCCTGGAACGTGGTTCAAGCATGAGCTCAGGAAAGAAGGTTGCCTGGAGCATAGATAATCCGAGGTCTTGCAAAGAGAGAACGACAGAAGCTGCTCCTGACGCGGGACTGAGAGCGTAGCAGGAATTCCTCTTGCTGCAGCCCAGGGCCCTGCAGCTCATCTTCTGCTTTCAGCATGGCATGCATGCAGTCCCCAGCCCCTGAGAAAGTTGTGTAAGAAATCACTGGAGGGCACAAAGGCACTGCAGGACTATCCAGAAGCCTTTGATCTTCACACTGGACATTGCACTGGGAGAAAACTTTTTTTCTAACTCTCCAGTGCACCAAATCTGACCTCGAGAGGGAGCCCTGCACCTGCATCTAGGGGGGACAAGAGATGCCCAAAGGACAAAACTCACTTCTTGGCTACAAACCCAGCAGTGGAAAGGCAGTGCGCTTGCTCCTGGGGGACAGTGAACTGTCCCGTTAGCAGGACGCACCTGGTGATCTAACAGCCCCCTTCACACACCTCTAACTTGCGTGAGCTCATATGATGTGGAAAGGGTGAGGTCCAGGTCAGACAGACCTAATACAGGGAGACCAAGCTCCTTTCTGGCTCTCCTGACCACGTTGCCCCCCATGGACCACAGGAATGGCAGCATGCATGATTCAGGCTGAAGGGTGGGGACCTCAGGTAATGCCTTATCAGCTCTGCTGAGCAGTCCCCAGGTGGAACTGCCCCTATTGTTGGCTGGATTTTGCTGCAAACAGCTGTGTCAAGGGGTGATTTCATTTCCAGATGAAACACCGTTGATATTCGTCGGACTTTTTTTTGTTTTCAACTGAGCTGCAGATGACTTGCTGCAGGAACACGGCTTGGCAAAGGCCTACAAGAGACACTGGACAACCCCCGTCTTGACTAGGGCCACTTCTTCTGTTACCCACACTATTGCTTGACTGGTACCTCCCTCAGCCACCTATTTCACCATCTATTTTGTTTTCCTTTCTCCTCCTAAAAACCTCTTTGCGGACGACTCTTCCGCGCCCGCCGTTAGGTTCCCCGTTTGGACGGCTGAAACTCCAGCATCGGTTGATGGTGGGGGGGGAAGAAGTCTGCAGCAAAAACTAGAGTCTTTTTGTCAAGTGGAACAACAAGTTTTTCAATGCCAGCTGGCTGGCGTAATTGGTTCTCTCGTGGCATTATTCACAGCTCTTTCCTCTTTCTTTTCCAGATACCTTCCATCTTGCTTGTTAAAAGCAAAGGATATTTCGGAGAATTGGAATTCATTAGTCTTCCTAACAGAGGGAGCCTACTTAGACCTAAATTGGTGGTTAGCAAATGTACAGATAATTCCCACACATTCTTATTTATCTTCCCCAGTTCGGCAGACTATAGAAACAGATGCCTCGGCGTCTGTCTGGGAGGCTCTAGTCAATGGAGTGGAATACAAAGGTATCTGGGATTCGGAATTGACAAAACCCAATATAAACAAATTGGAACTCTTCCCCGTTGACTAGATTATCTCCCTAATCAGATTTCCCCACGGTCCCCGTAATAACTTAATATTCTCAGACAAGACTAGTCTTTTATGGACGGGAAACAGGAGGCAAAAGATCACAATAGGAGTCAGAGGCAGCGAAGAAGACGGGGCGAGAACTCTTCACGCGAAACAATGGTTGCTAAACAGTTCGTCTATTAGCACGCGCACCTGCTGAAGTCTCGACTGCTTCCAGTCTTTTAAAGCCTGCCGCTTCTTGACAGCGCTGGCACCAGAGCCAAATCTCTGCTCGGATGTATCTGGCAGCGTGCATACAGCCTCATTAGTGCCAAAGATGCAAGGAAGACTCTGACCCAAATGCTTTTTTTTTTTTCTCAGCCTCATCTTAGGCGAGGGTCACACCTTCACTCACACTCCCCTCATTGAAGTGACGGTGAGGAGCTCTAGATGGAAGCTTTGTTTGGGTACCATTTAAGTCACTGCTTCCTACTGTGTGCAAAAGATGATGAGGGACTTACCGATTTTATAGACGTTAGGGCTGGAAGGGACCTCGTGAGATTATCAGGTCCAGCCCCCTGCCCAAGGGCAGGAAGTTAGCTGGGGTCAGGTCACCCCAGCAAGGTGAGCAGCCAAGCATTTCTTAAAGGTACCCAGAGTAGATGCTTGCACCACTTTTGGGGAGAGTCTGTTCAAGACTCTGGAGACTCGGGCGCTAAAGAAGTTTTTCCTTATGTCCAGTCTAAAATGGTCTCAAAGTTTTTCTTGATGTCCAGTCTAAAACGGTCTTCCAGCAGTTTGTGACCACTAGACCCCATCTTCCCTTGGGGTGCCCTGGGGAACAGATGTTCTCCCAGTTCCTGATGCACATCCCTGATGTACGTATCGGCTGCCACCAAGGCCCCCCTGAGCCTTCACTTCTCCAGGCTGAAGAGTCCCATGGCTCTCAGCCTCTCCTCCTAAGACCTTCTCTCTTGACCTCTAATCTTGGTCTGGGGTAACACCTTCACTCAGGCCCCCTAACTGAAGGGAAGATGATGATCTCTAGAGGGAAGCTTGGTTTGGGTGCCATTGAAGTCACTGTATGTAAAAGATGATGAGGGACTTGTTACAGTGAAGACAAAGAAAAGCAGTGTCCTGTTAGTGCTGCTTTGAGAACCTCTTGCTTTTAGTTGCTATAACAAAATGGCATTTTCCAGCTCTATCCTCACCCCTTTTCTCCCCTTACAATGCTGATGAAGGCTTGGGGCAGAAGGAAATCGGCTCTGGCGTGTGAGACAACATCCCTGCCTTGATCCACACCCAACCTTTGGGGCTTTAGAAGTCCTGAAATGCAATCTCAGTGCACCAGCAAGAAGGAATTAGAGAGCTGCCATATCGGAGGTAATTGCAGTGCTTGTAGTTATTCATTAATTCATGCAGCATATTTCATATAATTAATACTGTGCCCACACTGTGCCCATGTTAATATACTTCCTTGCTTCTCAGCACATTTCAGCTGCTTCCAGAATATCAAAACAGCTCAGGTAAGGTACGGATGGCACAGGCTTTCTGACTGTGCTCAAAGGGATGTTGTTGGAAGTCAAGCCCAGGTTGTATTCTTCCCTTGTCCTGTACTATTAATAATTCTGTAGGCTGCTGAAGTGGACAAGAGTATAATGCAAATGGCAGTGGTTGATTTGTCTGTATTTGACTCGGGTTGGACTGGTATCAGTGAGACACTGTCTGGGTGAAGATCTAGGAAGTGAAACTACCAGCAAAGTGGCTTGCACGTGTGTTTTCGGGGGTGCAGAGAAAGCTCTAAGGATGGGGTTTTCAAAGCAGATTGAGACCATTAGTACTAATCCTGTTTACACTCTGTCTCACTCCTTTAGACCACTTGGAAAATCCCAGCCCTAACACTCTCAAAATTGTTAATTGAAACTGAGAAATGGAAAGGATTTATAAAACATGGCCAATCTAATCCATCTCTTTATAACATGTATTTAAAAAATATTCATCCTTGAAGGCAAGGAGAAGTGTGCAGCTCTCCAGCTGAAATGAGCACAGCGGTGTCAGTTTGTAAGTCTGCTCTTTGCATTATGAAATTCAAGAAATTCGCATATAAATGGAGCAGGGGCAAAGCGGTCCATCAATTGATAGTCCGTAGTCACTAGCTTTAGATGCATTCCCCTCCTTATGCAGTAGATTGCACTGCGTTATGAACATCTATGCACGTTATTTGAGGGTCTGTTTACCACATCCAGCACCGCGTGGACAAAGAGGTCCAGGTACACCGTCGTGGCCTGTGCCCAGTTCCTGACGGGCCGCACTCCCTTGCTGTAATTGCGGAGGAGGCGCCGAGTCAGACGATGCAGGGTAGAGTTTCTGGTGCATCCAGCGTCTGCGCTGGAGCTTCCTGAAAAACAAACAGACCCATCGTGTGAGTGGGCCAGGACCGATGGAAGGAGAAAAAGTGGTTAACTTTTCTGTTGTTGCTGAGGCTGGCTTGTCACGGGGGATTCGCTGGGAAGGGAGCACCAAAGCCATTCATGTTTTGGCCGCTGGCTGGAATCTACTGGGGTGGCCACGGCCAAGAGCTGGGACCAGTTTACGACTACTTTGCAGGCTATGAAATGAGACTATGGCTTTCAGCTCCTAGCTGGCAGAAGCCGTATCATGTAAGAGCCATGCAAAGGCAATACATGCTTCTCAGCTGGCAGCCTCAGCAGAGGTGTTGTCAGATTTAATATTAGACTTTAGGTAGTGGCAGTGAATTCCTAAATGCTTGAACAAGTATAGTCCAATCTTTGAAGAGAGCATTTTTTTAAGGAAAATTGTTAAGGTCAAATTAGCCAATTCAGGTCCAAATCCAAATCATTCAAGAACCGTATGTGGCTCTGCTACCAGCAAGTATCTTCCACCCCAGCCTGGGGCTTCAGGTGCTTCCAAATCCTTTGGCAGGCATTTTGTTTTTTGTGAAGATATTTATTTCTATATTCAATTCTCAACTTCAAGCATATAACAAAGAACAACAGAAAACTTCAGCTAAGCGAAGACGCCCAGTAAAATACAGTGACAATAGACACAAATGAGTCTAATTTAAAATGCAACATAATAAACCAAAAAGACAACAGAAAGCTTTTGCATGAGTCTTACGTAGTCCCAAGAGCAAAGTGTCCCCTTACAACCAGGGATTCAAAAAGTGCTAGGGAATCTGAGGGTGTCCTGGGCGTTGGAGTGGAGATCCCACAGGCCTCCTCTCTGCCTGGGTTTTTATCAGTGAATCTGCACCTCCTTCTCTCCCTTTGATGCCTTGGCCACAGTCACATATTACATGCCCCTCCCGTATAGCACCTCTCATGCATTCAGGGCATCCCAGTCTCTCACCTCTTACAGGTTCTGCTTTGAAATGGAAATGCAGTTCTCTGCTTGCTTTGATCACACCAGCCCAAGCAGTCTGGGACCCTGCCCTGCTCCCTTAGCTCTGTCTCCAGCATCCACATGTGATGATTGTGTCTGGTCTTTGCCAGCCGAGGGGCTCAGGACTGGCTAGAGACCGCAGCCTACCTCCCATCCCCGATCTCTCCCATCTTTGAGCCTTCAGCTCAAAGATGAGCCATGTGGGGCAGACCTCAACAGGGTTAGCATGCTACAGCCTGCATCGGCCCTGCTCTGTGGAGGTGCAAACAACTTCAGCCTCTGACACTATATCCATCATCTGACACCTTTCGCCAGCACCAAATGCCATTCTTGTGCTTTTAGGATAGGAGGTTTCCTGTTAATGGATTTTCGTTCTGTGTTCTCAGGTGCGAGAATTAGCCCGAGAGCCTGCCCGTGAATCAGAAACGAACAAACCTGGTGCGCACGGTGGTTTGGGAGGGAAAAAGTCTGTCTAATCTTTCTTCAAGCCTCCTCCCATCCACCTGCCTTGGAAATGTGCTCATCAGGAAACCCAAATGCCTGCTCGCATGGTAAAATAAATAAATAAATAAATAAAAATCAGGGCCAATCTAGCCCGTTGCTAGTGACAGGACTCGGCGCCTCTCCGGGCGAAGCAGGTGGAGGGGGCGAGAAACGAGGCTCCGCAATTGCAAGTGACACGTTTCTGAGTGCTCCTTCAGAAATGCAAAAGGATCTTTTGCTCACATGCCTCAGCGGCCCTGGGGGACCGCGGCTGCCCCCAGCCATTGGGCCGGAGCAAATTGCCAATGCGTGCAAGCACAATCTAATCTGCAGCGCCCCGCTCGTGCTTTCGGCCGAGCCTGCGGCACTTTTGATGGCTGTTTTGATGAGCTGTTGAAGATGGGAGAGATCCTGCAGGAAACTGTAAATGAGATCTCCTTTCCCAGAGTGCTGGGGCCTTTTCCTACCCATTCCCTTATGAAGAATGAGGTGTCACGAGATGCTACAGGCAGCAGCTCCAGGATTTATCAATGTTAGTGCGGAGGATGATGCTGCAGGTGTGATTCAAGCCCTGGCACAGGCTGCAGAGTCATTGCATGGAGTCATCGAGGCTGAGCGCCAAGTGAACCCCTTGCTCCCTTGCTGTGCTCTGAGCAGCAGCCCTTCTCCCTCCACCTGTCTCCAGGTGCAGTTCATATGGTCTCGGCTGGGACCACCTGGCCCCAGCTCAGCCACGGGGTATTGCCCCCCCCCAGTTCCTACCAGCTCATCTGGGTGAGGGGCAGCTTTCACCAGTGCCCCTGCCTAAGGGATGACCCCTTTTGGTTTGGCTGATGGAGATGCCGTGCACTGGCCATGAGGGAGGGTCATTAAAGTCCGAGTGGTGCATGGCATGGAGCAAGCCCTGGTGAGGCCCATGGACTCCTTAAGTGAACACCAGTACCCAGCCCCAATTTGACCCTGGAGATAAATGACGCTATATCTTGGCCACTGTGAACAAGGATCCATTCCCTTAAGAGCAGCAGAGTCTGGGATACAACTGGGGACACGTTCAGGGATGCAGTGGGCAAGATCCTCGGATGGCACCATGTGGGGTAGCTCCTTTGAAGCCATTGGGGCTCCATCAGTTTATGCCAGTGAAGTGTCTGGCCCAGCACACTGTGTGCAGATGTTTCTTTGTGCAAGCTCCTTTCCTGGCCTTTATGAGCAAGGAGAGGCTGCAGGGACTTGAGCTGATGTTCACTGGACCTAGCTTGTGGTGGTCCTCCCCAGTGCTTCTCCAAGTACTGGCTAGAAGCCGCACGAGGCAGCGATGCAAGAGGAAGCTTGTTTTCCAAGACCTGGTCTTGCTGCTTGTATCAGCTGGGAATAAGATATACCCCGGGGAGTATATCCACCAGTGGCCAAGACTGGATGGCTCTGGGGTGTCCTCTGAGGATGGTGCAGGCAAATAGGTGCGGGACTATCTGCTCCCTATAGCTGCTTGATACCCCCATGAACAGAGACTGGATGAAACCTTGAAGCAGGAGGTTTGCTCACCTTCCAACACTTTTCCTCAGCCGAACTATTCTACCCGTGTTTGTTATCTCTGTAATAATCACCAAGTCTCGATGCATTCTTGGTTTCCATGACCTCCTGTGGCGGCAAGTCCCACAGACTCATTGCAAAACTAGTGACAAAAATATTTCCTCTTTGACGTGGGGCAAAGTCCACTCAGGATTCAAACCTGCTGCGGGATCTTTTCAGGGGAAAGCCCCGGTTCTAGATGCATGCATTTATTTGCTCTAACAAAAGGAAACAACTGCATTTTTGCCATGAGCTGGATTAATGACTGCAGAGGGCATTTAATATTTAAAGGGTCATTAATTCACTGCACACTTTGCCTCTGAAAGCAGTGACGTTCACATGGACCAGTCTCAGATCAGCGCTTGTCTCAACAGGCACAGAAAAGATGCACTAAGTGGTGAAGAAGTGGTTCTCCTGTGACTTCTCAGTGCACAGTGATGCAGCGGCAAGCCAAGGGATGCTTGCTCAGGACTGCTGCAGCCTTGGTTGGTCTCTGAGAGAGTCCCCTGACACTAGCCCAGGCTTGGCTTCTAGAGCAAGGGGGAAGCCCAGGGTCCTCCCCGGTCTGAGCTGTAAGTATCTGGGGACTGAAACTAGCTCTGGGGAGATGCCAAGACTGGAAAGGGAACAGCTGAGTATCTTTGGGGGTGCTCAGGGCTGGATTGGGGCTGGAGGGACCCACTGGGAGGGCGTCCTGTCTCCTCCTGCTCTGGCACTAACCCTTCATTCTCTGTGCACAGGTGAATCGAGTAAACTGAGTTGTGCAGTATTATAACAAGGTGAACACTATTACAATAAAACCCATAATCGGTCACAGCGGTGCTTGTGCTTGTTGAGGGGTGGGGGTTGCGGAGGCGAGGAATGGAATAGGCTGGATATTGGTCTGTTTTCTGACATCCCCCTCCTCCCCCAACCCCTTCATTTGTTCGCTCTGTTTGGCTGCGTAAGGCTGCGTCACTGCGGGCAGATGCACGGATCCCTCTTGGCCCTCCTGGGGTCACTCCTGATGTTTGAGGGCACGAATCTCGGTGTAGTGCTGCATGGTGCGTGGATTTCTAACTGCATGCGAGGGGATGTGGAGCTCCTGGCCTCCCTCCGGCAGATCCAAAGCATTCCTACTGCTAGTGACCTGAGCTAGTAAAACATCCTCATGTCCCTGCTGACTTCAAGGCTCGAGTGTTCGGCTCCCTCCCAGACCGAGCCCACAGGCCGGTGGCTTCCCAGGGCAGGTTGTGTTTTCATGTCCTATGCAAGACTTTGGGGAAAGACACCTAACTTTTGGTGCCTGTGCCTCAATTTCCCCATTTGTACAGTGAGCTACTGGTAGCTTAACCCTCCTCCCATCTCCCTCTCCTCTCTCAGAAGCCAAAAATGCTTGCCTTTTTTTGCAGCAGCAGCAGCAGGCCTGAAAAGGAGCTGTGCCTTTGCCCTTCACCAGGGCTCAGCCCTGCAGCGATGCAGAAGCTGCAGGACAGTTGAACCATGAAACAAAACAGGTGCCATAAAATGGATGAACATTTAACTAAAATTTTAGCAGACCCAGGCAGATCTCAGAGACTCGCAAAGCTGGGGATGGAAAGCAGGTATCAAGCCCGTTCCCCTTCATTGCTGCGTACCCATGTGTGCATCTGCACCTCTGCAGTCTGGCTGCCCTGCAAACTGAGTGTTCACATCTCAGCTTAACCCTGAAAGCCCTGGTGCTGTCTAGACAGATCGATACCTGGGAGGACAGTGTTTGTCTTGGATATATCAGAGCCAGAGAGGAAGCCACGGTGCCCAGGCACATCTTCCAGATATCCCGCTGGAGCCTCTGCTGGTTGTCCCCAGCCGGGAGTGCTCTAGGCAGATGGTACTTGCAGGAAGCGCGTTCCTGCTGCGTGCCGCTAGTGTGCAACTTGTGCAGACCCGAGAGAGCGAGGACAACGTTTACAGTATCCATTTTGGATAAAGAACTTACCTGCGGCGAGGAGGCCGAGGAGGAGGAGGAGGAGGAAGAGCGATATGGACCTGGTTGCCATCTCATCCAGCGCAGCGCCTGGCTCTCTCTGGTGTTTCCACCCACTTTAGGGCAAGCAACTAGGGCGTTATTCTCTCAAACCCGCCCGTGCCTCTGAGGCAAAGGTGGCTGTTACTCGAATGTTTCTGGACTCATCGGTAGCTCTGAAGATCCCGGCTCCTCCCAATCTGGAATTGGATTATGCGCAGCATTTTAATTTCATTGACATTCGAGCACTAAGTGACTAATGGAAGCCAAGGCTGCTCCCCCAGGAGAGGAAATACCATGCTAATCTGATTTCCTCCAGTGCTCTTACCTGAGGCTGTGCCTGTCTCTGCCTTACAGGATGCTAATTCCATTAATAATTGAGGCCCAAATAGCTGCTTTAAATCAGACATACGCAGCAACATCTTCAACATTTGACAGTAGTTACTGCGCTCCTGAATTACTTTGGATAATGGAAACCTGCTATTGTTTAATGAAGAACAATCGCTAACAGTGCAGGGGGGAAAAAAAACCCTGTCTGCTTTTTGTCTTTCCTGCCTCCCTTTAATTAAAAGACGTATTACACTGTGATTAAAGTGAGCGCTTGGGTAAGGTTTCGTTTGGCACGTTTCAGGAGGCAACAAGACCCTCCCTGACAGCAGGATTATTCCAAGAGCGGTGCTGACCCCTTCTGTGCTGGTGTGTGCAAACACAGGGGACGGAGCAGTGTGACTCTCTCTCGAGGTTGATATTAGTAGGTTGGAGACCCGCAACTATGTGAAGCCTAAATCCCCGTAGTTTTGCAGTCTGGCTGGCTGATTTTAATGCTTCGGGGTGCTTAGTGTCTCTGGTGATGGGATGTCCTCTCCAATGGGGGTGAGCAAGCTTCTCTTGAATAGTGGGGGGACACATTTCCAGTCTGTCTAAGCCACCAGCACGGTGATAGGATGCGCCCTGTTTCTGTGGAGTGCCGCCTTCTTTTTTTGATATACGAGCAATGTGTTCATCTAGCAGCGGTGAGGAGCCCATGTGAACCACCTTGCTGGGCAGTCCCAGGGGAGAGAAGGGCAGGACAGCCCCTGCAGGATGGAAAGGAGAATGCCTTTCTTTCTGACCAGGGGAAAGCTGAGATCACGGAGGCCTGCTAAGCTATTGCTGCGGTACTCGCAGAGCAAGGCCGAAGCATCAGCCTCATCGCTCTGAAGTCAAGCGTGCCCGATCTGCTCAGGGACTCCCTCCTTTTTTCTCCACTCTTCTTTTCCAGGGTCATCAAAAACGCATAGGGTCTTATCACCATCATCAGGCTGACTTCTGGTGCTGCCAGTGCAACACCCAGGCTCAGTTCGAGGCTCAGACCATTTCCAAGCCCAGGTGGGAGCGATGGTGTCTGTGGGACTGAATGCACTTCTGAGACTGTGTGCATGCCATGGGGAAGGGAGGACACGTGTGTGCTAGTTGTGTAGAAACAAAGACTTCGATCCTGAACTCATTACTTAGACAAAACCCCTCCTGAAACCCACCTGACTGAGATCCATGGTGCAATGCCGGCGGCTGAAAGCACAGGACCACTTTGCATCCAGGATTGCCTCGGTTCTGTGCTGCGGTGACCCGCGGGATGGTGCTCCTTCTGCCACCAGGCTGGGAGCAGCACGGAGATGTGCTGAAAAGCTCCTGTCTGCCCCCTGTACACTTTCTTTACTGGCTGCCTGTCACCAGATGGCCGTTGTTAATGATTTACAATCCATCACAGCCTACATTAACTAAAGTACCAGCAGCCTCATGTCCCCGGCATTATTATTCCTAAGAGACAGACGACTGGTGGAGCCTGTCAAACTTTTGGCTACCTTGGTAAGGAGGCAGTTTAGCAAGTGCAAAATCCCCTTCTGTCCATCCTCTGACTCTGCACGTGGTCTGGCCTTCCAGTTCTTCACCTGTTTGTCAAGTCGCCTTCCTCTATATAGGCAAAGTCCCTCACATCCATCCCTGCCTCGCCTGCACATTGATTTGGGGCATGCATGCTTTCTGCGTGTTCACTCCTCCTGTGCACAAAGCAGCCCCCTATCCCACCCCCTTTGCTGTGTTGAGATAATCTCTTTGCAGCAGAGATGTCCCATCCTCAATTTCCTCTCTCTCTTTTTAGCCAGCATGCTGCTTCCTCCATGCTCCTAGCCCAGAAGGAGGTGAAAAGAAAAGCCTCATTCATGGTGGAAGATCTCAGGACCTGGACGTGATGTGCTCTGGAAAACAGCTCAGTAAGTATTTTCAGAGATGCTATTGTGGACTTGTGGACATAAGGGTGCAAGGTAGGGAGGGAGACAACTAGATAAGCTCTCTGGAAAGGTCTTTCCTCTCACAGGGGTCCAGAATGGAGGTCCAGGGGAAGGGGTGGCTGTGATTGATAATGTGCTTATAGGAAGGGAAAACATGCAGAATTTGGTAATTGTTGCAGAGCAGAATAGGGCTTCTTTTTATCTGCTTGCCATTGCATGGTCTTCCTGCTCCATGGGTGGCTGGACGGAGCAGGCTGTGCATCCCAGGCCCATTGGTGGCACCTGAGATGCACCTTGTCCGACCAACTCTTACAAACTCCAGCTGCTTCAGGCCTGTTCTGTTACCTGGCTTTTCTCCTCTGACTCGCACACCAGTTCCCTGCCGCAGACCCGTTTGTCACGGCCCTTCCTTCCCTCACACCCCAGACTGGACCTTGAGAACTCCCTGGTCTCTTTGCTGGGGGGAGATGGACGTAGCCACCTCCGAAGGAGGTCAGCATTGGCTCTCATCCAGCGGGGAGCAGAGCTGTAAGGCTTGCCAAGGGCTGGAAGCTGCCTGCAGGTTCAGGGCAAGACACAAGAGAAGCGTGTGCGGTGAGGTGACCCACTGGGGCGCTCGAACGGTGTGTCCACCCTGTGCTGCCAAAGGCATCTCGGCTAGCTTCAGACTAGCCAGTTTGGGTGCTAGCAGCAGTCTTCCTATGGCAGCTTATTTACGTAGACAGGCATTCATCCGACAATGGGTGACATGCCTCAGAGACAGCATCCCAGTAATGTGACCATCTAAGACTGAGGTTGCTGCAGAGCAGCATGCAACACCTCCTTGCCCAGGTCCTGCATGCTGCTTCCTCCATGCTCCTGGCCCAGAGACAGGCAGGACGATACTCTGGTCCTCAGCGCACCCCCTTTCCTGCCAGCATGCTGCATCCTTGCCAAGGATCTCAGGCTGAGCTCATCTGCGGATGTTTCCTTTCCCGCTCCGTGTCCCGGGATCTGTTGCCCTCTGCATTCAATTCACCGGGAAGGCAGAGATGAAGCCGTGGCCCCTCCTGTACAACCGGCTGCCTTTTCAGGCTGGGGAAGAGTTTATTATGCAAACATAATAAACATAATAAGGGACGTGTTTATTATGCAAACAGCAACTGAGTTATGTGTCCTTTAAGACTACTAAATAGTTTTTAATTACTGCTATATCAGTAAATCCCATAAATATGCAAATGCAATTAGTTCACAAAATAGGCCCTAAATATCTTTATTCCTCTCCAACAAAGTTCTTTGAAGTTAATCGCCAGCTCCCTTTGTTCGCTCCTTTGGCAGTTGTGCTGAAATTGATGGGAATTATGACAGATGCACAAATTCAGGGGGACCAGATTTTTCTGAGAACCACATCTGGACGGGCAGGGATGGAAGACAGGGGGAGGGGAGCAGGAGGCCAAAGGGCTGTTCCCTTCCAGATCATTGTGGTGTAGTGAAGAGCCGGCTCTGTGCCGTGTGCTGCTCGAGGCGCAGCTCCCAAGACGGCCCCTGGTCCCACGCAGAGGTGAGTGGAGCTTGTCAGGGGACAGCAGGTTCAATGGTGACATCTGAGATCACAGATTTGCTGCTGTTGTTCTTGTCCCCGGAGTCTGGGATATGCCATGTCTCCAGAGCATCCATCCACTCCTTTGGCCCCGCTTCTGGCTGCATGGTCCTGCCTGCTCGTGGTCTCTGTGGGACCTGCAGTCCCTCTAAAAAAAACAGCTTATAGAAGCCCATTTGTGTCAGGCAAACGCATGACGTCTGCTTTGGGCTCCTCAGTCATAGCTGGGGATCTAGCACAGTATTGGCAGATGTTCATTTAGGATGTTCGGGCCAAATTTCTAGGTATTTCTGTGGGTGCCTGAAGGTGCCTAGTAGGATCTTCAGAAGCACCTGAGTGCTTTGCTCCAGCGATTTAGGCTCCTAGGAGCTTTTGCAAGTGCCTAAATACCTTCAAAGAACCTGGTCCTCTGTGCTTTGGAGAGAAGATGAGTTGTTCTTCAAGAAGTGGTTTCAGTGTATATCAGGATTTCTTACCATTATTTCAGCTGTGCTGCCGTAACTACCTGTGGTTTCTAAACGGTTATCCCTGACCGGCATCAGGTGACACGAGGAAGAAGAGCTAATGCAGTTGTGCTACAAAGCCTATCCCACCAGGCTCTCTGACTTTGCTGAAAGCTTCGTGGCTTTCCATGAGCGGAGGCCTGCATTTAATTTAAGCGAGATGCAGCATGCTGCAGACTACCCGGGTTTTTAATAAGGAGGTGATGCCTACAGAGATCATCTCCCCTAGCACACGATGCTCTGTCTGTATCTGAGCAGCTTCATTCATGAGCTTTGCGCTCAGACTGAGAACTGAATGTTGAAACGGGTGATTTGTAAAAGATGCACTATTAAAAATGAAGGTGCATGGTGCAGCGCTCGTCTGAAGAGGTTGCACCATTGTGGCTGAACTGAAGCAAGGATTTTATTCACTATATTTCCTTAGCTATTGGAGCTCCCTGATGCAAAAAGGCTAAGTAGGTGGAAGAAGCTGAAGTTTTCACTAACTTTTGGGACCGCGTGCAGTTGGTATAATCAGAGTGCCACCTTGTGGCTTTGGTGACAAACTTGGCTCTATTCGACTCGTTTTTGTGATCGGCCCTGAAAGCTGTGATGGGTCGGAGATTAATTTTAGAAATTAATGGGGAGTCCGTGATGCAGGAGGCAGCTAAATGAAGTGAGAAGCTTTCATTACAGCGAGTCGACAGAGGTCCGTAGGACTGCAGCCGAGGAGGCTTTTGGAAAGTTTTTTCCCCGGAGTGCCGGTGTTTGT